ATTTCCACATCTACACTCCATCAGCTGATTATTTCTATTTGCCTCACTTTATGAGCTTCACAACATGTACCTTGTACCGCAGAGTTATAAATGGGGCCAATCTTCAGTCGGATGTGAATGTGTAATCTAACATTTTCAGTAAGAAGAATGGACAAAAGGAGTGCAAATACAAATTCAATTTATTGAAATCTGAACCAAAAGTTAATCAAACATGTTTTAAATAAAAAGCACATATGGACAGAAGGTGTAAACCTATTAAATGTATAAGTAAACACATTTAGTCAAATAAAGTGACAGACTAGGCCTGATCAGGTGGTATCAGCTATGCATGGGCTCCTCCATCAGGTCTGGTCCTCCTCACAGAGGAAAGACCCTCAGTCCTCTCCAAACCAACAGACTGGACGTCCATCACACGGAGGTTTCTCTCTGAAGTCTCTGCAGCTCTCTGGACACCACGCTGTCTCAATCCGTCCACACTGAATATGAGAGGGGAAAAATGAAAATAATAAATGCTTTAGACAATAAGAAATATAAAGTTGACTGTTGAGTTGCTCAGTTTTTTTAGATTGTCAATACTATTACTGTATAACTAATATCTCAGGTTAAGAGGCACCTTCAAATAAAGATTGGTCTTTAAATACATTGTGTCTTTTGAATTGTTTGTCTAAAGTCAAGGATCTAGAACTGGTACTTGTAGTTTTAATGATACAGTCTGGTTATAATGCTGTTTGGAGGAGGCCTCACAGGTAAGAGCACTAACTAGCTATCATCACATGTACCTTAGCTTAACTTAAATGTATTAAACGTATAATTAAGTGATGGCAAAATATAAATAACTAATGTCATGCAAACATATTAATATTTGCTTGATTCCAGTGTTGCATTTAGCACATTGCATACAAACGTTAAGGGATTTTAAGATTCTGAAGTATTATGCTAAAAACTCAACTTAGATTATTATTTATAGTTTTGCTGAATAGTCTCATGTCCGCTTACCTTAGAAACGTAAAATGCGACGGCAGTGTGCAGATGGGGAGCATGTTAGCTTAGCTTTGTAGCTTCAGCTAGCTCTGGAACTTCCAGCCCGGTGGCAGCAGGTCCCGCCTCGGCTCCGCCTCTTTGCCCTTATTTGGAGCAGGCTGGAGTGGAACTCTGACGCCACTGTCGAGCCGTTAGTGGCCGACTCCGCCTACTAAGGGCTTCTCGGCCACTCTGCAGAATCCTATGGGTGACGTCACGGACCCTACGTCCATTTATACAGTCTATGGTTGCGACCCATTTATCGAACATGTTTCCCTTTTCCCTGCCGAACTCCACATATGTTTGATGCTAATCTTTTTTGCGATTACGGAATTTTTGTCTGTAAGCTTCTGGAACTAATTCGTAAGCACGAAGGATGGCAGTTTTGACTGAGTCATAATCAAGACTGTCTCCCACTTCGAGAGCAGCAACAGATTCCTGAGCTTTTCCGACTATTTTGCATTGCAGTAAAAGGGGCCAGGCCTCTATTGGCCACTTCAGCGCCCCTGCAATGCGCTCAAATGCGCTACAATATGCATCTACCTCAGTCTCACGGAATGCCGGAACCAAAGAAATATTTCTGCTAATATCAAAGCCAAATGAATTCGAGTTGGTGGAACTGGGTGTCATACCTGCGGCCGGGGCTGGTGCGTGCGCCTGCGCTCCAGCTCCAGCTGACGCAGTCTTATTTTCTCCTCCATCTCCAGCTTCCTTATTTCTAGCTGAAACTGTAGCTGTGCCTGCCCGGCCCGCTCCTTAGCCTCTATCTCGAGACGTGCTATGCGGACTTTAAGCCTCGCCTCATCTCGGGAGCCATCACTTGCCGTGGATAGTGCATCAAATCGAGGAAGTGTACCCGGCGTCTCCCGCTGTGCACCTTCCTCATCCTGCCCTCCCAACGCGCCAGCAGCCTGGGATTCCCCCTCAAGCTCCTGTGTGAACCCCATATGGGCCATGGTACCGTCAGACACAGCCAGCTCTGATTCGACGGGCAACAGGTTGATTTTAATAATAAATCAACCTCTTACCAAGAACATCTGGTTTCGTGTTGCTTCCCTTTTACCCTAAACGAGCTGGGGACGTAACAGACTTCTCCATGATGGTATGTTTGTGTTTTTATCATGTTCTGTTGCTTTTACCTCTTAGAATATTTAACAAATTGTACGGTGTCCTTGGGTGTCATGAAAGGCGCCTTAAATAAAATATATTATTATTATTATTATTAAAAGCCCTCTGTGTTTTGTCATTCGAACGCTTTAACCCTCCTGTCGTGTTGGGGTCAAACCTGACCGATTCACTACTTTCATCAATCATCAATATTGTGATCCTCCACAATAGATATTTGAACATATATATCAGATTTTATTGAATTTGGAGAGGTTTAGTCAACTTTGTTACACCTATGGTGTTCCTGTGTTTGCCATAGGGAATGAATGGGTAACCCTAGATTATGTTCATCCATCAGAGAGCACACAACCAAATCTATAACTTTTGGAATACATTTTCAGTGTCTATTCTTTGTATATTCACGGTAGTTACTCATGTAAACCAGTACACTGAGACATTGAGGGTGTTTAATCAAATGTTGTGATGATTAATGTTATTTGTGTTGAGCAGTTAAAACAGACCAAATAACAAATGAAGTAAAGCAGTGACAGAACAGGTTAAAACAAAAACTTTCGTACCAAGCAAGGTAATACAACACAAAGGAAAAGTGCATCGCACCAGGGAACATATAAAAGCAACATGGCCGACAATCTGCCAGAGAACATGGAGAAAGACAGACTTATTCACACACAGAAATAATCACATCAAACACTGATAGACATTTAATATTTTATGAGTAAAGCTCAATCTCAATGTTAGCCTTTTACCTGACATTAACCCCATTAAACATTCGTGATCATAGACAGCATATTAAACACACAGTTCACACTGGTGATCAACACCATTGACATATTGCATCAGCATCAAACTCTATTAAACAACAAGTTTCACTTAAATAACAGAAACAGCCCTTCCAAAAACAAGCAAAAATATTCTTGAATCAAGTCAGATGTTCCTGTATCAAGCAAAAAAATCTGCCAATGTGGTGAGTCAAATTTGCTTGGCTAGGATTCTTAAAACTAGAATTAAAATCTAGCTACTGAAAGACCGTAATGGGCCTTGAAACTAGACAAAAATGGAAAATGTAAGCATATTTTGCTTATTACAAGCAATGATTCCTCCATTATTTAACCTGGTTAGCCCGAGAGACCCCGGTACTGGGGCACTGCCGCATTATCTTGCAGGAAACAGTGTCTGAGGGCATGTTCATTTAATAAAACTATGAATGTTTTATATCCATGTAACGGGAAGAAACTCATCTAACTGATCATTTTTATTTTTTTTTCAAAAGAAAACCCACAATGCTAACACTGAGCCTCTGAATTAGCAACGAGCGAAAAATGCTAACACCTTACTGCACCGAAGATCACTCACAAAACCTTATTATTTATCTTTTCACCACATCCAACACATCGATTCACATCGTGAGGTGACACAGAATCTATTGACACCGACATTACCACTGAATTATACGTATTTGCGACGTTATAAGCAAAAACGGACATCAAAACAGGTGACGCTAGGTAGCTAAAAATGCTAACATTTTTACCTTGGCTCTGTAGTCTCTCCAAAGTGGTCTTCAATGGCATTAAAACGATAAAAACGCTGCTGAAGTTAATCCATAGGTTAATCTAATGTGTCTGTGTCCCTTTGAAATTATTTCTGATAATCCATAAGCATTAAAACTGCTTTTCCGTTTCCAGATGTCAAAGCTAGAGATAGGTTCACTCTGATGGAAAATTACATGCGCGAAGCCCCCACCTTTTCTCTTCACAACGTGTGTGTGTGGGGGACTCCCCCTTCGATTCTATTGGCTCTAACGGTCAGAAAGAGGTGTCAACCATCAAAATCGAGCAAGGGGGGCCAGAGATATGGAAAATCCACCCAAATGACCCCAGAAGTGGTTTCTTTTTGCTAAATCTCTCTAAAAAGGTCAAATGTCACTTGTTTTGCATCAATCTTGATACAGAGTACTTATTATATGTTGTACTTTGGATTCCTAAATCTTTTAGTCTACTAACCCATCATCCAAGGGTAGTTTTCACTATAAGTATAAAATAATTTTTGGATGGACACTATAATTTACAGTTTTTTACTATGTAAAATCTGAATTTTCTTTAAAATAAAAAAACATCTATATTGATTCTGACTTTTCTACATCCAACTCACAGGTTTATCATTACTTTGAGAATAAAGATTATTAATTTAACCCTTTTAGAAGGGAAGATATGGTCATTTGTTCTGGGAATGTCATTTTCGAGCCTGAGACCTGAAAAACAGGCTCAGGGCTTACCAGGTTAAGAAAGAATAACTTAAAATTAATGTTTTGGTTGAGTTGACTAAGAATGTATTTCTTAAATTAAGATTTATAATTAGCAAAGAAAGCTTACAATAAGAATCATTGGCTTTAATTGACACAATATATTAGTGACTTTGTCTTAAACTTAGAATGTAAATCTCAAAGGGGACCTAGAGGAGGAGGGGATGGATCAATGGATGTGGATGTAGGGATGAAGGAAAGATTGAATGAAGGGGTGTAGGGAGGGGGGATAAAGGGATGAATGGCTGGATAAACGAAAGGAAAGTAGGAAGAAAGGGTTGAACTGATGAAGGGATGAATGGATGTGGGGATTAAGGGTCAGATATGAAGGGAGGGAGGGGTGAAGGGAAGTAGGAGGGAGAAATGAAAGAAGGGATTGTAATGGAAATCATGATAATCAGGAAATTGGTGAATGGAAGAGGGATGTGAGGATGAATGAATGTGGGGATGAATGAACGTGGGGATGAAGATTGGAAGGGATGTCTGAAGGGAGGAATGAGTGTAAACTGGATAAAGGGAGCGAGGCATGAAGATTAAATGAAAACAAATTAAATTCTTATATAAATGCTCTTTATTATGCTTTGGATATCAGTCTTTGTCCCAGACTCTGGACGAATACATCTCTATACATCAAACTCAGAACTCAGAACTTTTTTGAACCTGTGAAAACTAAATTTAAAAACATGTTGGTAAGGAGCTTTGTGTTCATAATCTGGCCCAAATATGATTTCCATCTCCGACATTATTTGGCGAGCCAGTTAGGAGAGCTTTTGTTCTCTTAGTGTACAGTACGGGAATTTAATCTCAGGCGTGTTTCTGCCTGATCTGAAAGTAGAAATGCCCAGGCTGTACAGAGAGTTATCACCACATAGTGAGAATTTGGGAGAAAAACAAAAGCAAGATTTATTAGATTTTAGCTAATCAGTAAGCAATTCAGAAAAACTGAATTTCTGAACACGAGCTTTGTCCTTAACTTGTTGTAGAAGCCTGCTGTTGATTTGAGTCTTACACACTAACACTTGGAAAATGTAACATCAAGGTTTTCTACTAGTGAGCTTACTTTTCATTCAACTGTACATGGAGTCAAATGTGATGCTTTGAGGTCTCTCTCAGGCAGGACAGCTACAAACCAAGATATTTAAAAATAATTCATTATGTTGAATTTAAAAGCAACAATTTGCAAAGACTTATCCTAGACTTTTGTAATATCAACAAATGTACATATAACATATAAGCATGTATAGTTAAATCAGCACGTTAGAGCACATGACCATCAGCTGATCTTAACACTACATCATGTTCGACACCTCGACATGATTCACTTCACATTCTTCTAAACCTACAAGCTGCTGCTACTGGAAACTGACAATAAAAAATGTTGGGAGTTGAAGGTGAATATATACAACGTCGTTCTTCTTTGTTTCCATCAGGTGAGCGTCTGAAGAAAATCACAGAAACTTTGTGTAAAGTTACAGCTGGAACTGTGACTCTAAATGTGGAGTGGGCCTGTTTGATCTGATGCAGGAGGCTCTAACCTGACTGGACTTCACACCAGGTCTTCCTGCTACTCTCTGTCTTCTGTCTGTGCTGCAGTGTGTGAGACGTTCTCATACTCAGGAATAGAGTCCAACTGATGGGGAAAGAAGACAAAATCAGGCTCTTAATTATTAAACTGTATATATGATCAAATCAAATCAAATCAAATCAAATCAGGTTTTATTTATAAAGCACATTTAAAAGCGATTTTTGGTCGAGCCTAAGTGCTGTACATGTAATAAAAACACATTACTACAATCACAATAAATTACAACAGATATATATAAAAAATTAAATAAAAAAAAACACAAGGAAAAGTCAGGAGTCGTGCTCCGCTCTAACTAGAAAGCCAGAGAGAAGAAGTGTGTTTTTAGTGTAGATTTAAAAACTCCTAGGGTCTGGGCCGACCTCACATGGAGGGGCAGAGTGTTCCAGAGCCTAGGGCCAGCTGCTGCAAATACATTTTTGATGAGATGTCATCAAAAATGTATTATATTTTGAAGAAGATTAGTTGATGACATTGTTGTATGACCAAATGCATTACTGGTTTCCTCTCAGCAAGTTGTCTTAAAAAGACAGGTTCACTTAACTCCAGTTTTTCAGAGCATTTATGGGACTATTTACATCCTCTCTCTCTCACCTCTATCTCTACAGGTTCACATGCTTCAGTGGTGGACCTCAGAGCTTTCTTCTTCCTGGATTTAATACAACAACAACAACAACAACAAATACAAATTCATGACAGTGAAACGAAAAGATGATGGAAGGTGATGAATGAATGGTGAGTGAACGCGTGTATTTCTATTGTTGTACCTCGTCCACAGACCCAGGAGAAACACAGGAATCAGCATCAAGACCCCCAGAGTCATCCTGATGATATTCACTATCATTGTTGAACTCCCTAGAAACACAAATGTGATAGGTCTCACTCGTAGATTGATAAATCCCTTCAGTCAGTGTCATCCACGTCTGACACCCTAAACATTGACAGTTTTATTTTCTCTGTAACCAGTTTTCAGTTTTGGGTTGCTTCATATTACAAACTTGAATAAGGTCTGATGAAGGTGGAGAACTTACCTGCCACAACACTCAGATGAAAGGTGGAGTTACTACGTCCTAACTTGTTCTGGGCTCCACAGGAATAACTCCCACTGTGTTCAGCTCTGAAGTCAGTGATGGTGAAGATCTGTCCTGAAGCTTTTGGAGAGTCTTCATCCTCCTTGTACCAGGTGTAGTTAGCTGCTGGGTTAGCATCACTGCTACAGGTCAGAGTCACTGAACTGCCCTCCTCTATCTCAGCAGAGGGACTCACTGACACAGAGGGAAGCTTTGGAGGATCTGGAGATTCAGAGAGACCCATGTCATTCACATCACTATGTTTTAAATGTTAACAGACTTTCTCAGATGTTGCATTTTGGATTAATGGATGAACTTGGATTCATCGATATATTTTTGGGTAATTATTGTCAATACATTTCCATTTAAATAAAACATCTTAAGTATCCTAAAATCACCTGAATCTACTCAGAGAATTACAGCAGACTGTGAATGAGAAGCTATAGAGCGGAAGAAAGTATTAAAGACCAGGGAAATCTTCTCCAGCAAAATCTGGACAGATTATTAGGATCTGGAGAAGATGTGTACAGAGATAATCTAGGTGAAGGATGTGTTACTGCAGAAGAAGATTTGGTATTTTAATTTGTAAATAACTGTGTGCATCAGCATTTTAGACTTTGAAGGTGGGCTGACAAATGGATGATAATGTTGGGGTCCCAAAACTCCTAAAATCTGCTGACGTTGTTCAGAGAATTTCAACAGACTGTAATGTGAACTGCGGAAGAAAGTAGTACAGATCAGTGAAATCTTCTCCTGGAAAGATTAGACAGATTTAATCTTTATATAAACTGTTTCACTCACATTTCACATCAACAGAGTTCACTTTTGATGTGATCTTCCCCAGCTCGTTCTCAGCTTTACAGAAATACTGTCCAGAGTCAGAGGACTGGATGGAGCTGAAGACAAGCTGTGGTTCTGTAGTGAGAGGAGGACGTTTCTGATTTCCATTCTTCTTGTACCAGGTGTAGCTAGCTGCTGGGTTAGCATCACTGCTACAGGTCAGAGTCACTGAACTGCCCTCCTCTATCTCAGCAGAGGGACTCACTGACACAGAGGGAGGCTTTGGAGCATCTGGAGGAAAACATTCATGTTAAAGATTATATTTTTTTTACGACGCATGATTGACTATTTTATAATTTATTTTAAACTATCCCTAGTCATCTATATTGTAGTTTGATCAGGTGTAAAATCAAAGATTTCTGCTTATGGAGAAAGCCACTAAAATGGCTTAATCTTAATGTTAATGGCTTCAAAACTCATGCTTCTCTCTGTTAACTGGCTTTAATAGAGCATCTAAGTAAAATAAACTGTATAACATCAAACAGTTAATGCAGCAACAACGTTTTTATACTTCAAAATGTCATTAAAAAAGAACTGTACACATTTGTATTCATAAAAAAGTAATTTATGTATGTAACATGTTGGGTTTATTGAAAGCTAAAGTGCTTGTAGGATATTTGTTTTTATCTTTATGGTTGTCTCCACTTATTGTAAGTTGCCGGGATAAAAATGAAACTGATGTAATGTACTTTAGAAGACTCCGGTGAGGTTATGTACAGTATGTCTATAACGTCACTGTATTGTAATGTCAATGTATGTGTGTAAGAGTAAACTCACACACTGGAGGAGAGGGAAAGTCCTCATATCCCTTCAAAGCACAGGAATAACTGTCTGCATTGTTCGGGTTGCTTGTATAATCAGCTGTTTCTCCCTGAATACTTTGTCCGTTCTTGTACCAGATGTAGGAAGGATAAGAATATTGATGACAACTGCTCTGACAATACAGTCTGTTTGTACCTGATGTGACCTGGAGATCTGGATTTGTGAAGGAACACATGCATATTATTATTTTAACCAAAACATTAATAAATCATTAACATATCATTGAAAATTGTTACTTGAGACGGACAAAGTGACTCCAGGTGAACCACTATATTTTCCTCCTTGGTTTGTTTCAAACTTGAACTTGTACTCAGCTGAGTCGCTCTCTGTCAGGTTTCTGATTCTCAGAGTGCAGGTGTTGTTTTCACAGAGATCCTCTACACGACCTGCATACTCTGAGACTGTGGTCAGATCTACATGTACACCATCTTTCCATTTAGTGAACCAGAATGTTTTCTCCACTGTGTTAACACTGCCTCTCCATGTAGATGGGTATGTGAAGTTGCATCTTATCTCCACTGTTGATCCTTTCGCTGCACAGATCTCAGTAGGAGAGTAACTCACTCCCCAGTCATGCACTCCCTGAACCACTGAAACACAGAGCACATCAGAAACTAGAATCAAAGTTAATCTATAAATTGTTGAGAAATTGCCTGATCAGTACTTTCAACAAAGAATGTAAAAATAAACATGTTACAAACTTTACTGGGATAGAGCAGAAACACACATGTGAATTCCTTCTTAGGCACTTTAAAACCAATGATACTCTTTGACTTTCTTGTTTCTTAATCAAACCAGGTAGAACAGAAGTCTACGCAAAAAGGGTATGTTCAGTTTGACACGAGATTGGAAAATGCCTTCATATAAATGAACAGTGAATGATTAGCGATCATATTAATTAGAATAGTGTGTGATTCTCTGAACAGTTCCCTCTCTGTTCGCTCTGTGGTCAGGTTGCTGCTGAACATAAATGCAGAACACTGAGGTGTGAGCAGCTTCTGTCTGATATACAGATAAGAAAAAGAAGAAGACTGCTTTTAACTCAGAGAGGTCGGAGAGTAGAGAAGGAACTAGAAGGGTTTGGGGCAGAGTGGCGACATGAGAGAAGTTGAGATAGTATAAAATGACTAGTCAGAAAATATCCCTCTAAAACACTAACATTTTTATTAAAACGACAAACATTTTTTTAAACAGGCTCATCTTAAAAATACAACAAAATGTTATAACATGGTGAGGAGGGAACAGTTATGAATGAACAATATTATCAGTTTGAAGCGTGTTAGAGTAATAAGCACACAGTTACTTTTGAGTGCAAATTACGTTGATCAATACAGGAAATACATTTTTACAAATATCCATTACATGTAACACTAAAAAACTACTAAAACTTGGTAACATCTACCCGTTTCAACAAAGCTGCACAAAACATATATTTAGGATATTTCTGGAAAGTTTGCATTTCATCCAACCCGGATCCACTTATTTCTACAAATGACCTGCTTTTACAAGTCCTACATTTCCCAGAATCCCCTCTGTTCATGTGATGAATGTAAGTGTAGATGTACAGTACCTGACACAGAGAGCAGGAAGACGACTAATCCACTCGCTGCTGCAGTTAGACTCATAGCTGCTCCTCTCATCTCTGTGAGACTATAAAACATGTCAGATTAAATAATGTTCACAGGAGGTATACAGAATCATTACATCAATAAACTGTTTCTACTCACAGTGAAGGAGGAACCATGTGTTGAAAGATGCCTCTCCTCTGTCACCAATGAGCAGAAGACGGATATCAGGATGTTAAGAGAATAGATTGACTTCCTCTTTAGACGATTAATATGCATGATGAGCCAAACCCCAGTACCACCCACTGCACAACAAAGTTGTATTGTTTTTAAAAAGTATACACAAAAAAGTAGACAGGTTAAAAGAGACTTCGGTTAAACATTTGTTTCTCTGCAGATATTCCACTGACACCAGAAAAGAGCTTTCAAATAAAGAAGAGAATAATAGTTCATCTCTCTGAGCACTGAGGAAGTCACACAGTCTGCAGGTGAAGGAACAGGAACGCATTTACCTGTAAACCACGAGGCAGTTTAACTGAACAGGAAGAAGAGAACTGTATTCATTATAAGAGAGAATGGAAAATGACATGTCTTTGTTCTTGGTATCTCTGTGGTCAGGTTGCATTTGCTTGCAGAGAAATGCAGAACTTCGAGACGTGAGAAACGTACATGAACCACTCACAGGACTGGTAGGACAGACAATGTTTTTACATGATGATGTTGATTTGAAAACACTAGTTTAAATTACTTTGCCTTGTTTCTGTGGATCAGTTAGGAAAGCAGTGTGCAGAGATGTCTTAAGTTTGACTAAGCTAAATTCATCACTTACTATCTGCATGTTTAGATATGAAGGTAACACAGCTGGAGGGGGCAGGCTGATTCTTCGTAGTGGCCAAACAGTGGTACTACAACTTCTGTACCAGTCATGTGATGCCATTGGGCCCAAAGGTAAATTATATTACCAGTACAAACACTTGAATAGCTCAGTTAAATCATGAGGTGCTAAAAGTTGTAAAATGTGTTAAAAACTTGGTTCATTTGACTGAGCCGAAAACATCCATGAAACTGCAGACTGGAGGCGGGGTTTAGTGAAAACACAACTGCACATCCATGCTCTCAAAGCCCAGATCCAGGATCAGACAATGTTTGGCTTCATGTGCCACTGAGCAACTTACATAGGATTGAATTGGACCGCACCTCCAACACTGTATGCAGATCTCTTTATAAGATAAGAGGGACTTTATTGATCCAAAATTGTGAAATGTTTGCGTTGCAGAAGCATTAAAAAAAGAGGCATTGCACATAAACAGAAATTAAAGAGTAGAAATAACATCTCAAAATAGAATTAAAAGAGCATTAAAAAGTAGAAGATATACAGTAGACCGTGAAGATAAAAAAATCTATAAACTGTGACAGTAAAACACTATTGAAGGGCTTTAGACAATAACCCTAACCTGGTGATTGAAGACAGGGACTAGAACACGGGCGGGGCAAACAAGCACAACAAGGCGGGCAAACATAAAAAACAGGAAGTGAAACCAGACGTGACACAAGGAGAGTGTTTTTACTTCATAAAACAGGATCCTACCTAAAAGACCGCTAACTGTGATAGAATGGATGAGATTAAATTAGAATCAGAAATCCCCATTTTTCCAGTTGGTATTCCTGCCTTGCTTTCAGCTAAATGCTAATATTATAATATCTTCTGATCTTTTTTGTTCCTGACAATTTTTGTACTGTTCCCAATGACGGCTCAAGTTGCCAGATGAGTGCTGCTGCAAATTAAGTTTGGTGTTTTACTGGTGGAGTTATTATCCATCCATCCATCCATCTTCTCCCGCTTATCCGTGGTCGGGTGGCGGAGGTATCAGTTCCAGCAGAGAGCCCCAAACGTTCCTTTCCCCTCATCAACCAGCTCTGACTGGGGGACCCCAAGGCGCTCCCAGGCCAGCCAAGAGATATAATCCCTCCACCTGGTCCTAGGTCTGCCCCTTGGTCTCCTCCCAGCTGGACGTGCCTGGAACACCTCCCTAGGGAGGCCCCAGGTGGCATCCTTACTAGGTGCCCGAACCACCTCAACTGGCTCCTTTCTACGAGTTATTATGTTTCTAATAAATCTAATTTTGAGTGTTTTTAAAATGAGAAACCCAACTATTTCTTGGCACTGCAGTCACCTTTTGATCTACTTTTTATGAAGTTTTTCAATCATTGTGTAGACTTTCACAAGGGTGCTACAACAAATCAAAAGAAAATAACTTCTAACACAATAAAAGTGTGGGCAGTTCAGCCATTACAGCCTCAATGACCGTTACCCTAGCACAGGGGTACTCAAACTTTTTTATTAAAGGTCCAGTTGTGAACTTTATACAAGGTCACTGGTCCGGATCAATGCCACTAAAGTCCCCCCCCCCCGAGCGGAGAAACGAAACTGAAATTAAGAAGCAGTTTATTGGCGCTCTATGCATGGAGTTTCCCGACATGTCGTTGCAGTAAATTAAAGGGTGTTTCATGTTGTCGTTGCTGTGGACCTTCTTAATCTACCTTCTTTGGGGGCCGCCTTCTGGTCCAAGCACTTGCCTGCCTTGCCTGTCGGTAAACGGCGCCCCTGTATACACACACACATTCAATACATACATACAGTATGTCAAGGTAAACTTGCGGTTAACTTGCGGTCTGATATGCGTGTCAAGTAAATATATATGCACGTTCATTCTCACAACGCGTCAGACACAAGACGCGCGTACATGATGATGCACATTAATTTATCAGAATCAGAATTTTATTTTATTTTTTTATAATTTTTTTATTTTTTATAATGGGACACAGGGTTCGGTCCGGATTGATTTGCAGTTCGGTCCGGATCCGGACTTTGGTCCGGAGTTTGAGAAGCCCTGCCCTAGCATCACGGTCTAGCATTGTGCGACTAAAGTATTTCCTGGATCAAATATGTTGTTTTTTTAACTGGCCTTCCTCCTGTGTCTCAGCAATCATCCTCTAATCACCCGTCCTATTTCTCTTAACATTTTCTCCTCTGCTCCAGTGCTTCTCATTTAGCTAATATTGCTGTTTTCCCCTCTTCTTTTTCCTTCTATTTTACTATAAATGGGACCGAAATGTATCAAATGAATACCCTGCTCTATTGGAGAAGGCTTAAAACTAGAGACTGAGAACATAAACTTGTCAGGAGTCAAGAGAAAAGTAGAGTCATCTTCTCATAGACTTCTATACAATTCAGGAGTGTCGTTTTCCCTATGATTTCTGAATGCATTTATGGTCTTATGTGATCAGATTTTAAATAACTTACGCCCAGAGGAGAGGGAATAGTTTCTTATGCAAATTGCACTGAGGGTGTTAAAGAGCCATAATTGCCTGTATGATCTGTGTCACAGCTGCTGACGGCTGTAATAGCGGACCAAATCAACAGCTAAACTATAATAACTAACTTCCTGTTTAGAAAAAAAAGTCCCTTTACCTCAGCCGGTGTCCTATTTCTCTTAACATGTTCTCCAGTGCTTCTCATTTAGCTAATATTGCTGTTTTCCCCTCTTCTTTTTCCTTGTGGCCATGCTGTCATTGTGCCGTGTGCACCAAATATTTACTGCATGTTAATTAAAAGCCGCTCTGCTGTGTGTTTGTATGTCCCTGTTATTGTATTTTGTAAGGACCAATGTACAACCTTGTAATTGGGTTATATACCAAGTGGCCATTTCTTACAGTTAGTGGGTTGGTTTTGTGGTTGGTGTGTATGTGTGTGTGTGCGTGTGTGTGTGTGTGTGTGTGCGTGCGTGCGTGTGTGTGTGTGTGTGTGTATGTTCTGAACACTTGCAACAGTTTGACATTTTGGGCGTGGGAAAGGAAGATCAAACTGTGCTACGCTCGGGTAGCATCTGTTTCCTCCATCTACTGGCAGAATATCTGTGAATGTGTGTGTGTGTGTTTGTGTGTGTGTGTGTGTGTGTGTGTGTGTGTTTATATCCCCAGACATACTTGAATGTTGTCCTTCATTAATTACCTGCAAGCACTGGAGTGCATGACTAATTAAAAAAACATAATCTCAATCTAAAGGTTATGGATTCTTCCTCATGTTCAAAGCATCATGCATTATGTATAACAGCGTATCGTTGGCATGGTAACGAATATATCAAGTGTACGTAGTCATTGGTGGTCTCCCATTGGTTTGTGACTTTTATTTTGAAGGGTTTGGCATTTTCGACAGAACCATCTTGATTTTTTAAACCCAGAAATGACCATATATGGACGAGAGCTATTGCTAGCAGCTAGCGTTAGCACGGTTAGCAAGGAGCTTCCCTACCAACTATCTGATATTTTTTTGGGTGGTATTTTTGGCAAGTGTAAAACATGCTTGTTTTCAATGTAAGCAGATCAACGGAAACATGAAGAGACAGCTCCTAGAAGTGTCTTTTAAACATTAAATAACAATATGATTTCCATGGCAGTGATGTACCAATTAACTGTGCCTACAACCATAACCTTTTTAATCTTCTAAATGGGACCGAAATGTATAAAATGAATACCCTGCTCTATTGGAGAAGGCTTAAAACTAGAGACTGAGAACATAAACTCGTCAGGAGTCAAGAGAAAAGTAGGGTCATCTTCTCTTAGACTTCTATACAATTCAGGAGCGTCATTTTCCCTATGATTTCTGAATGCATTTATGGTCTTATGTGATCAGATTTTAAATAACTTACGCCCAGAGGAGAGGGAATATTTTCTTATGCAAATTGCACTGAGGGTTTTAAAGAGCCATAATTGCCTCTATGATCTGTGTCACAGCTGCTGACGGCTGTAATAGCGGACCAAATCAACAGAAAATAAACTATAATAACTAACTTCCTGTTTTAAAAAAAAAGTCCCTTTACCTCAGCCGGTGTCTCCCTTAACATTTCCATTTAAACAGTCCCACGCCCCCCGGTAGACGTGCCTTGCGAGTTGAAAACCTGTAGTATAATTAATGAATGCCAATATTAATATTTATGTAACACGAGCCCTGTAGGCGGCACATTGTAGGGAGAAGAAGAAGAGATACGATGAGGGATTTAAAGGGTTTGAATGATTGGATTCATAGGGGGGTAATATAAGGGTGTTTAGTAGCAACCTTACTGTCAACTAAGGGATCTTTTGTCATGTTTTACTATTGAATCAGTATATTTGCGGCATGTGGCAATCAGCTAATTGATCTCCTCGTGTTGCATATCCTACTGACAACTGCCTCTTTGCATTAATTGAAAGTGAAGACCTCCAAAACTCTTCATTAACGTCAATTATCGCCCTTTCAGGTTTTTAG